TAATTGAGTATAAAAACAAAACAAAACATTTGTTAATGCTAATAGTGTATTAGTAATGCATACATAGGGCCAAATGTAAACTCCTACACTAATAACCTTTTACAATTTTTACCTGAAAATCAAAGATATTGTAATCTCCTACATAGAATTTTCCCTTTACAAAATTGGGTATTTAAATTTTCGATTTTGAAGTTGAAAAGCTCAAAAATATCATAGCTTGAAAATAATAAATATATATTTAACAAACAAACGCTTGAATCGAGCGTGTTTATACGCTGTATGATGATTCTCGAAGGTTATGTTATATCCATATTATATACTATATTATACATTCATATCGGTATTTGTAGTACAAAATATTTTAAATAGATCAGCGATATGGTGTTGAATATTGTCGAATAATGATAAGACATGATAATCTCGTTTGTATCAAAACAAATTGGCGTTTATTATCGCAGTCCGATATCGTAACGCTTGTAACTGTATAACTGCGTTTTGTTTGAATTTAGTATAGTGAATCTTTTGCGTCTTTCACCGTTTTGTGCAGTAAAGTTAGTCACTCTTATAGTTGTACATTATTACAAATTGCAATGGAATTCATGTACAGTTAGAATGGTAAAAAGTTATTAATAGTTGATAAATATAAATTTTTTTTACACTATAATGCAAAAAGTGACCAAAAACTTGGCGTTGTATTAATAATAAGTGTCAAAGTAAAATGTATACAAATAATACAGAGAATGAAATTATTGAAAAAAATGTAGTTCTAATGCACAATCATTATGAAGATACTACATTAAATCGCCAAGAAGTTAATAATTCACTGAAAAGGAAAGTAAGTGAAAACAATATATTTTAGAAAAGCCTTTCAAGTTTATTTTAACTGAAATCATAAATTTTAATAACGAAAATAATTTAAATAAAACTGATCTCAATTATATTAGACGAACTGTGTATAATGCACATATATCTATTTTGCCACCTTTGCCTAAAAGTATTGAAAAAGTTCACGATACTTTAAATTTAATGGATATAAAAACAAACCGTTCTGAACAATTTGTTTTATTAAATTATCAAGATAGTCATATTATTATATTTTCTTGTATAGAAAATTTAAAATTTCTTTGTTCTAACGAAAAAATATATTTAGATGGTATTTTCAATTATTGTTCAATACAATCAATTATTTATGTGCATTTATAATTGTTAAACATTTACAAGAAAATGTTATAAAGAATGTAAAATAAAATTTTTATTTTTATTACATTTTTTTTAATTGTTTTTCGTAATTTTGAAATGTATAGCATATATATTTAGTACAAAAATGTAACATTGAATAATTTTTTTAGTTAGTATGAGCATTTTAAATTCTAAATAGTTTTTAAAACTTGTAAACTAAAATAAATAAGAATGCATTTAATTTTTAAATATTAATACATTTTGAATTATACTTTGCAAAAACAAAGTAAAAAGTACAATGAATATAGTTTGTGAATTTAAAAAACAATACGTTTTTAAGAAATATTCCATTTTGTACAATTATCATGGTGATTTATAAAAATATACTTGTAGAATAATAAAAAATGTTCAAAATAAACATGGGTTGTTGGTGCATGTTTAAAATTGACTAATATAACCAAATTTTAACAGACAAATCATTGAAAATAATACCTTGAAGTAGTTTTGAAATTTATTTTATAACCATTAATCTTTTATTTATAATATTTGCAAATTGAGTTTTAATAATTGTACTATTTGCGCATTCATATTCATTCACAGAATTTTCCCCTGGTTTTCCTGTTTTAAAGCGTTTAATGAGTTTTCAAGTGATAAATTAAAAATTTTAAACTTTATGAAGTATTAAACGATACGTGAAAGATTTAGAAATTGTTGGCGACCAAATGTGCAAAAAATATGCAAAATATGCAAAGACATACAAGACATGCTCTAAAGTTGGAATATACAAAAATATGCTATGAATTTTGACTTTTATTATTTAATCAATTAACTAATGATTTATGGACACTCATTGATTGCATGTACATGATATAAAAAATAACAACAGGCATCTTATGTAAATTCCGGCCTTTACTTATAACTAATGTGCAATTTATGCAATTAGATACAATTCATCTAATATAAATTTATGTCGTAACGTTAGTTCTCACGCGGTTTGAAACGATGCACAATAATGGGCAGTAAGTATAATTCACTTTTGGGGTCTTCTTTTTTCCATTGTAAGAATATTCGTAGTGTTCCTTTAATCTGAGCGTCCCGAACGAAATCTTTAGGAGCTATAAAAACCTTAATGTCTACCAAAAACCCTTTGCAAATTTACGATAGTATACTGCTGATATGTATTATTGTAATATAATTGTTGTACAAATAACTATCACTCTTGCATACGAAATATCGCTGACAATGTTTGCGCGGTATAAATGGTATAATATTCTGTAACACGATACGCATCTAATCAATTTAACTTTAAAACTTTATTTACATGCATATTTGAAAACAATTATGACCGATTGATATTAATAATATAGATATGGACATTGTTTATTACAATATTTGTACATATTATATATATATATTACATATAAAAAAAAAAATATACCAATATTTTATTATAATATTTTAACATTATTATATTACATATTATATTATGTATTTTAGTAATTTATGTACATTAGATATACAGAAACTCACAGAAAACAAATTTAAAATATAGAATAAATGTAACTATTTAGTGGTAACATATATTAGATTGATATATATATACATCTAATACAATATAAAGGTAATAATGATCACATAGTTACTAAAATAACAAAACTATTGTACAACTAAAACAAAAGCAACATTAATTGACTTTCGCGGTGCTTAAACAGCATGCCAAAAAAAAAAAATAAAAAAAAATTGTATAATTTATTAAAAAAAAAAAAGGTTAAAGGAACTAAAGAAATACATCTATGTGAGCAAAATAGGACGTAGGTGGTAATTTGAATTTTTCTGATTAGAAGTATGCAGGGAAGTAGAAAATAAAAGTTCAATTTATAGTCATCAATAAATAAACTATTTTATACTAACTATTATATTAATTATTATATTTTTTTATTTTAGAAAATGGAGTTTTATGGTAGTTATTTTTTTGTGTTGCACTAGCCTAACCTAACCTGTACAAATGATATATTATTTTACAAGTCTAACAATAGAATACTATTTTCAACATTCAAATTAAAACCTTAATAATAAATAAGGTCATAAGTGTATTAGTACTTAAGTTTTGAAGTTTAAACTGATAAATTAAATAAAATTACATATTTAACGTAAAGAAAAATGTTGAGCGATATGAAAACATACAAATTAGACGACCATTTTTTTATTTATAGGAAGCCAGTGTTATACTAATTATTGCTACCTACATTTTTTTTAAAAAAAATACATCAATAATAAAGTATTATAAAATTTTAATATAACAAATATAATTATCTTAACAAAATAACAAATCACGTGGTGATTATTGCACATTATTTTTGTGTAAATCCATATGAATGTATATCCAAACACAATATTTAACGTTTTTGTAAATTAAACTGATTATTTAATTTATTAAACACAATATTATTATTATTTACATATTCAATTATGTATTGAAATTTAATACTATAAAAAAAAAAACATCACACTCAGAATAAAGGTTTACTTTTTAATTCAATTTTAATAAATACAAAAAAATAATATTAATAAATATAACTAATATCTATGAACGGAAGTTATTTCTAAGTAATAATACTAACTAAATATGATTGATATTATTTCAGTCATATTATTTTTTTTTAAGAAGATAAATCGTGTGTAGTGGAAATTTACATATAAAATAATGATAATTTTATTCATACATTTATATTTAACGTATTTGAATATTTCAGTTAATCAGCAATTAAGGAGTGCTACCAATCATGGAAAAAATTTTAAAGAATAAGTTAAAATGGTCAGAGGAATTTTAAGTGGAAGATGCGGCAGGGTGAGAGGTACCATGAAAATTATTGTAGAATAAAAAAGATAGAAAAAGAAGAAGAATAAGGAAGAGCCAACCGAATTGAGGGTCATATGAAGGTAGTTTTGGTATACGAGAGTAAGAAATGGAATACCGAACTGTATGAAGATGATGAAAGAAAATAATCGATCCCATATAGTTGGAAGAGAAGGTTTAGTGGTAAAGAAGAAAAAGAAGAAGAAATATTTAAGTTAGTTGAAATATTGTTTTTAATGTGTATAATAATATTGGGTGTTTTGTATAATATAATAGTTGAAAACAAAGAATAGTCTGGAATTTGTGTATAATACTACAAGTTTGATTAAAAAACATAACCAAAGAAAAAAATAATATGAAAACGAAATCATTATTTACGAAAATAAATTGTAATCGTGTCGCAAAGAGTTATTGTTTAGAGTATGTATTTTTTTTTGCGTTTCATTTCTTCTGGAAAATTGTTGTTAAAAGTTCGCGTTGTTATATTGTTACAATGTTGGTGCGGTAATGATATCACGGACGCAATAGACGAAAAAAAAAAAAACAAGAAAAACAAAAAAGAAAATTGTCAAATTTATTGTTTACATTTCTACAGAATCGTCGGCCTCCGCGATGGTATCCAAGTTGGTTAGGTCAACCACCGACATTGACGGTGGCTCCTGCAGTACGCTACTGAACTTAATGTCGAAACAGTCGGCTGCTATAGTGGCGGACCCGACGCCAACGGTAGCTGTGGTGGCGTTGGGCTTACCAGTGGCGATGGCCACGATCTCGGGCTGCGGATACCCGTTGCGGCCTATGTAGTTGGCCATGGCCACGCCGCCGCCACCACCATTAGCGATGGCCGCGGCGGCTACGGCAGTGGTGGTGGTGGTGGTGGTGGTGGTGGTGGTACTGCAGTGGTCATCATCGTCACCACCGCGGCCGCAGCCATCGTCGTCGCAGTCAGTAGAACCGTGACGGCCACCGCGGCGTCGCGTGTGTCAGGAGTCGGCGATGCCGTGCGCTGACGTTAGATCGCTTACGCTGCCGCTGCCGTCGCGCCGCTGGTATTCACCAACGCCCGCGCCCGGCACACCGTTGGCTGACGATGGCTGGTACAGCGTCTTGAGCTTGGTGGACACGCCGTGGTGCACAATGTTGAAGCACATGGCCGTCAGCGCCATGCCGGACAGTATGTACACGGAACAGAACCACACGGTCACCGTGCTGGTGAGCGTCATTTCCAGTGGCCGCGAGCTGCCACCATAGCCAATGGTGCTGAGCAGCATGAAGCAGAAGAAAACGCAGTCCAGGTACGTCTTACCGCCGGTGTCCAGCCGGTGCAGCACGGCCGCGCCACACCCGATGTACGCGGACATGAATGCAAACCCGACCAGCAGTAATGGCACGAAGCTCGCGCTGTCCGCGGCCATCTCGGCCGCCGCGATCGACGGCGATGTGCTGGTGGCCGCGGGCGCCGTCGACGTCGCGGCCGCCGATGACGCTGTCATTGCCGCCGCGCGGTCGGACACGCGCTGGAACACGTCGTCCGCGTCTCCGGGGCGCACGTAGTACGGCTCGAGCGCGTGTCCCGAGAACGTTTTCATGTGCATGTCGTATTCTTTGCGCTCACGTTTCAGCTTCATCCGCCGTTCCTTCTCCTCCATCAGCTTCTCGTCGTAACAGCAGTACCCGCACTTGGAGCACAGGCAACAGCATAACGATCTGCAACGTACGACCAAAAAGTTATTAGTCTGCACCGCGTTTTGACGCGTTTATGGATGCATTAACGGTTTCGTTTTATTATACTATAATGAGACCGAGAAATAAAAAAAATAAAAAACAAAAAAGAAATTGACTCTACGACGTGACTCGGAGGTATGGTGCGAATTCCTGGTCGATGTGGTCGAATTCGAATAACGCTGTGAAGACAGTATAGGTAATAGCACTATAGTGTTACTAAAATTTATCGTTGTCTTAACTAATTGTAATGGGACGAGGCTCGAGGACTTGCAGAGTGAGGATGAGCAAGTTTTGTTTAAATTAGAATTGAAATAGTGCGATTTATGTGCTAGTTTCACTGGAAAAAACCTCATATTTTTTTGAGCAATTTTCAACTCCTTTGTTCAAATAACGTCACTGGTCATTAACATAGTTGTATCATTTTTTATAGGAATCATTTAAAGCGACGTTAAACATCTGGAATTATACCTTACCCTAAGAAAAGGATCCAAGAAATTTTACATAGCGTGGAGTACAGGTTGAGCACATCGCTAGCCATTATTATTAAAAACCAGAAAAAATGACATTTTAGAAATATATACGTACGTATTACATTCATTCATTTACTTTACAAATACTGCATAAGTAACATAAGATATAATTTTTTATCGAATAAACTAGTAATTTGTTAAATTTAAATACGAAAACTGTCATTTATCACATAATTTTATAATCACAGTTATGTGTTAACGTTATTGTGTAAATACGATAAAAATTTCTTGTGGGATTTCAAAACGATTGCTCTGTTACTCTAATAAAAAACGGTGATATTCTTCGCTACCCCTTAATGATTTCCATATAGGTATGAGTGCGTATATAGCAATTTGTTATCATCATTATTCAGTAGAGGGTATATAAAAGAGAGAGGATTCTAACCACTCTGTTAGCTAGTCCTGAAAAAAAAAATATACTATATATTCAATCCCACCCTTCCATTTAATACTAAAATACTAAATACGTAACGTTTCGAAAGCTTAGTTACTCTCATATATTAATAAGTTTTAAAATTTTCGAACAGGAAATAATAATTATAAATCTGTGCAACCCACACCATTTTTTGTTATGACCTATCCTCTCAGACGTCTTCATATTATAGTCAAGCAAAACGACCAGTGTCGAGCTCGAGTGCCGAATTTGCCGAGAACAATAACAATAATTGAACGTTGTTCGATACGAGCGGTGGCAGTTGTAGCTGCCGTTTGCAGCTATTTCAAAACTGGTGAAATTTGCAACAATGCCAGCAATTAATTCGCGATAACAATTACATTTTATCGTCATAATTGGTTCGACCATAATTCTCGGAAATAAGTTTTTACGCGTTAATTATTATTAAACACGTAGTACGTCGCACGAAATTCGAGTGAAACCGAATAAATTAATAATTCAGTGGTTGTATAATATTTATGAAAGTAAAGCGTTAGATTATTTTAAAGATTTGCTCGAAAATAAACTTTCAACTTTGAAACGAACCGATTGAAATAGGACGTAAACATTTTTATAAATCATTTGTATTTCTTAGATATTTAACAGCGTACAATATAAAACGTACATAGAACGGTCACGAGTCAGGGCGTAAGGGTATTAAAAATTACTATAGTATAAATCAGAGATTCAAAAGCACAAGTCAAACATAACTAGATAAATATAAAAAATGTTCCAACTAAACCTATTAATAACTTTTTAGGCCTTTTTTGAGAAAGTTATGTAAATGCCTTTTATACAACAGAGACGTATTTATATAAATTAAAAAAAAAATATATCAGATATATCATAAATTATATTACATTAACGTAATATATGATAAGTTATTTTTAAGTATCTATTTAAGTAAATAATGTATGAAATAGTTGTTTAAGTAGAAACACTAATAATTATAACAAGTTATATTGCTGCCCTTAAGTTGAATTTATTATATTCATTGTTTGTGTGAATATTATTATGATACATTGATAAAACTCAAATGGTAATTTTAAAATACTACTCATCGGTATGCAATCAATGATTATATAACTATATATATATATATATATATATATATATATATATATATATATATTTAAATTGATTCGTTTTTATTTGTATGAAAGTGCACGATATACTTAAATTAAAATATTGTTAAACCTTCTGATTTTTTTTCTATTATATTATATACTTTATAAAAACTACCTATAGTTTGTTTGAACTTATTAAACCAAACCTCTTTTAGTGCGTTCAAATCAAATGGTTTTCATAACTTGCGTCATCCAAAAATATTAAAAAATGTATAGGTATTTGTGTTTCATAAAGTATTGAAGGGAGAATATAAAGATAAAAAAAATGACCCAAATGATCTATAAACAGATGTACTAAAAAGGGTAGAGGAATAAAATTAAGACCCTAAATCGTTAAACATGAGACGATAAAAAGAAAAAGTGATAACTGAAATAAAATAAAATTCTAGTCAATTCTACTTTCTAATATCGTCAAACGTATAGTATAAATTTTTTCTGCTCTATCGAATTTTTGAAAACAAATTGGTGCAGAGGTGCAGTGCACGTAACTTCAATAAAGATAAGATAAGTTAATAAAGTTAATATTTAATTTTAATAATTTTGTGTTAGTTCGCTGATGTAACAGTTGATTGAATTTTGTTATACATTTTAGATGTTTTACAAATTGTTAACCAACTGATTTTTAAATTTTATTTCGAATACTAGGAAGTTTATTTCCACACACTCGTAATAATATGACCTAAGAAATATGTTTATATTATATGTGTAATATTTTTTCGACTACACATTTGAATTTGATTGCACGTCCATCTTTAGATGCGTATATTCATTAGCGTTTGCATCCGAACAGAATTCCATCAACAGAAATTGAATAAACAGACATATTAATTACCTGGTAAATATTCCTCGGGCGCACCACGCTAACAAACCACCGATGCTCGACAAGTACACTAACATCAATGGGATGCCAATCAATGCGTACACCATTGTTACCATTTTACCTATAGCCGTTTTCGGAGTGATGTTTCCGTAACCTGAAAACAAGAATATATATTGTATTATAGATGCATTATTGATGTGCCATCCGCCTGGATAAAACAGAGACGAAAAAACGTCTCTGCGGATCGTCGAATATGTCGATTCGATTCAGAACTAGAAAAAACTGATCGGGTTCAAAAATAAAAACGTGCATATACATCACTGTTGTAATGCATGGGCAATTAATAATCGATCAAACGAGTAAGGTACACAGAAACAGGGTTACACTGCCTGGATAAACGACTAGTATCAAGTTTTCGATTAAAAATTATATTGTACCGATAACATAGAGTAATTATTCTTGATGCTGGTTTAGTTACTACATCGATCGAAATTGTTTTTTTTTCACGTATTTTATGTTATAATAGTTTTATAAGTTAGGCAATAGAGACTAAGACTTATTCAGCTAGGTGTTCAATTTGGCACGATAAAAATTTTGTTATCTCACAACTAGGGCTCGGAAGTCGATGACTTTAAAAACATTAAAAAATGACCTAAAAAAAGATGCAAATATGACATAAAAATGACCTAAATAATTACAAACATTTTTTTTAAATTAATAAAATACATTTTTTTAAATATTTTATTCTATTTTATTATAACATTTTATTTAAATCTATCAAAATTTACAAATTACTCAAAATATGACATAAAAATGACAACAAATGTTCTTAAAATATGAAATAAAAAAATGACAAGCATTTGTTTTATAAATTTATCACGGTGCAACACGATTGCGCAATTTTTCCTTTTTTGACCCGACTAATTACACCACGATTGCGTACCAAATTACATGTGTATTTTATGTTGTATATAAATTATTATACATAGTATATACACATGTAATTTAGTGCGCAATGGTGTGATTTTATCAGGTAAAAAGGGATCGGGGCGCAATCGTGTTGCAAATTTTTTGTGCAATCGCGGTGTAGTCGGGTCAAAAAGGAAAAATTGCGCAATCGTGTTACAGCCATTTATCAAAGCTTACAAATTACTCAAAAATCAAAATCATTGCATTGTACGATTAGAGCGTATTTTATGTTATCAAAAGTAAATCAATAATGATTATTTGTTAATAAATATTTATGTTTGGAAAAACTTCTCTCCACGTCTACTGAAGTGATTGGGAGACGCAGACGAGCCCTAATCGACGTTTTAATTTTTGCCATTTCGAAAATATTACGAAAAAATAATAAAATTTAAATTTAATAGGTATTATTCACTGTAACATGACAATGAAGCGACGGCTGTAATCGACGAGATAATATCGGATGCTAATCGAATATTAGGAAAAAATATTAAATTTAGGTATAATACTATTCACTACAACATGACAACGACGAATGTAATCAACAATATAAAATCGGAAGTTAATTATCGGCATAATAGTTGATAAGAAATGAACTACTGTGAAATCAGTAAAAATGACTAAAACTGTGGAAAAGTGATCTAAAAATGTCAAAAAATGACTTAAAAAGTAACAAACACCAAAAAATGCAAAATAATGCAAAATTAAAATTAGTTTTTTGGATTAACAGGCTAATGAAACACATTTGTGGCCAGGATAGCATCTTCTAAAAAGTTTGAAAAAAAAAAATGCAAAATGCATCAATATCCGAGCTCTACTCATAACATTTAATTCTAAAGCTATACCAATACAATGGATGTCCTCCAATTGTAATAGGTGGAATTATGTTTTCATTAAAATTCCACAAATCTGTGAAGGTATCTAATCATATTTTATCGACAGAAAACTGTTGGATATTTATATTGTGATTTCCAAATGATGGGTAAGTACATCAATTAGTATTGTTATTCATTGGAATTTGTATGTAAATAATAATGATTTTCAAGAAGTATTTTTCAAACTTCTATTTGCAACAGTTGGCGTTCAAGTAAAATAAATGACAGATGGATTTTTAAAATATGGCAAGAGTTTAATATTATTTGACTTAGGATTGTCAAAATATTACATTCACAAAGGGTAATATTATTTTAGGTTATGCACAAGAAAAGTATTTATTCTAGGAAAACAATTTTAATATTACTAAAAAAAAAAATTTTTTAAACAATCTCAACAATATTAGAGATGTTAAACTTTGTTTAACATCTTAGGTTTTTTTCTACAACCTTCTAAGATCTTTCGATAATTCAAGACTTTGAGTGTCATGATTCTTATTCAAGTCAACAAACAATTTTTAATGATTGTTTTTTATTGTTTAATAATTGTTTCAATTTTTAATGATTCAATTAAATTATTTGTATTTTTTAGATAGTATTTAAGAAAACACACTGTTTATTCGTCATGTACATTATTGAACTACATGTATTTAATTTTTTTTCGAGTTGTTCGAGTAATTTAATCGAATTTAGCAATCAAGAGTATTATGTATTTTCAATTCTGTATAGGTCTTAGAATTCCTATTAAATATTCTAAACATTTTTATACGCGCCTATCGTAATTTGTTGTTATAGAAGTCATCTATAGTTCGTATTAAAGTTCATTACTAGTATCAGAATTAGTTATCATATAGCCCATTCAGTCAATACATACAAATTCATTTGACAAACCAAAAATAATTGTTGGTCTATAATAATTATTATTATAGACTATGATAAACACGCCTGTCTTCAGAAATTTTCTGTTTCATGCGGGATAAAATTTCGTAAATAATAATTTGTTAATTTATCCACATATTGTTATAAATTATAACTTATAATTGTAAGGTGTGTTCTAAATTTGTTGACTGAATACGATCATTATATATGGTACGTTACATATAAAAATACTTGTATACTCGTATATCGGTGTAAAATATTCTTTCATACCGTCATAAGGTTTGTAAAATAATTTTTTTATTATTTTTGTTGATACTTTGCAACTATCAATTCTTCTAATTTAAATTCATTTAAATTTAAATTTTATTAAACACTTAATAAAATAAAAATAAAAATTAGTAAATGTTTAATATTCATAAATAGACAAAAAGTTTATTTATAGAAATAAATAAATAAATGTTTAGCCTGGAGTATTAACATATTTGTAAATTAGAACGATTTCAAATTAAAAAATCATCGTCATATGTACAAAGTTAATAATATAGTTGCGATTGTATTGACTTTGTACAACCTGATGATGAATTTTTAATTCGAAACCAGTCGTACTTTACAAATATAATAATACTCCAGGCTAAGTAATTATTTATATATTTCTTCTTATTTATTCGGCTAAAGTATCACAGATTGTATTACAAATTGTATCATTCTAAAAATGTTTTCATTGGTGTTTGTTTATTTCAAATTATTAATACCAATACGTGTAATCAAAAATTTATAATACAGCAAGTTTAAGAATATGTGTGAAAAAATACTTCAGTTGATTGTATTTGCTAAAAGTATCGTAAATTGTAGTCTCATTTTCATGTGTAATTTATTTTTATACCTCTTGTTTGAAAATTAGTTTTTTTAAAGCCTTTATATGGAAAATGTTCACTTTATTTTAAGCGTCACATTATATAACGGTGCAAATGTATGTGCTTAATTGATTAATTAGACGTATATTTATTAAATCAATTTAAAACGAAAATAACTTTTTATCAATACATTTTCGTAAATTTTTTTTGGATATCTTTAAGTACATAAACTGACATTTATATTGTTTTTTTTTATTTTATAGTTAGATTTAAATTATTTGTATTTATCAAATAAGACTTTTTGATTTAAATTAAACCTCGAAGTTAACTTTTAATAAGTTTGTTTGGTTTACGTATGGAAACATTAATTAATTAATTGTTTGATTTTTTCAATCAATTAATTTAGTAGAAACAACTCATTAAAATTAACATAAAATATGGTTATAGGGACCGTATGTTAATCAAAAATGTTATCCGTGATACAGGAAATAAAAATACATGGCATATAATTGATAATGGGCACTGGGAACAGTTGTTGAAGTGCCCTAAATCAAAAGGTTCAACAAAAGAAAGAAAAATAAATAATTACCGATATTTTATAAAAAAATGATATTTTGAACACAGTACTATGTTGTAATTATTATAATCAAGGCTTGAAAGTTTTAGTATTTGCATATTTCTTTAAAAAGCGTATATTGAAATTTTAGTTCGATATAAAGTTGATCCATATACACAGATTTCAAATACTAAAATTGTTATTGCATAATTATGCGTAGGAGTACGCAAATTTTAGGTTATTTTATATGCATAATTCATAGATTTAATGAAATAATTTTTTTTTTTTTACAAATTGATAGTTCATCAAAAATTTTTAGAAAAAATATTTTTAATAATTATATGACAACCAAAATTCTACATTTTATAACGTTTGACAAAATAAATTAATAAAATAATTTCTATTAATAATAGCTATTTTAGTATTGACCTCAATGTACTTAACAATTATGTTATAATTTATATTGTATTGAAAAATTGTAAAAGTGATCGCCAACTGGCCTAAATTATTTTTTATCTAAATTTACTAAGGCATTATTATTGTACCATAATATAAAATGGTCGTTGTCTGTATTTATACATTTATACTCAAGAAGATTGAAGTTTGATTAAGATTGTATAGTTTGTATAACAGGAAAACTCAACAATACAAGTGTTTATTTTTTTTTAATTTTCTTTTAATTTTTTTCCCTGTGCTTGATTTATGTAAATTGTATTTTATTTTAAATTGCTAATTTTTGTATATTTTTAAAATTTTTACTGCATATTATACCGCATATTTAAGTACTTTTTAGCGTATAAAGTTCAAAGTTTTTTTAATAAAGATTCGAACCTTGATTATAACCAAATACATTATTAGTGCTATATCAGCTGATTATCTATTCGTATGATTGTTAAATTTGTATACATTGAAAAGTTAAGCCACTTATTAACGCTGTAAAAGCGGTGGCCTTGTTGGATGAACAATTGAAAATGTTTTTCACAATCGCCACCAATGAATGGTATAGTTAAAAACAACTATTTTAATT